GACTTTTGTATTAGGTCCACCCACTGTGTGTTAAGCAACACACAGTAACACTGAGTGCAGACCATTGCATCCTGGATGCTAATTGTGTTGCAGAACATGTAGAGCATTGTATAGACTCCTGTCTTTGAGAGACAGGAAAGAATAATATGACAAGGAGAAGAGAACTTCCCTACATTATGTCTGGGAGCAGAAAAGAGAGATAGCAGAGATGGGGTGTTAATTCTCTGGGTGAGAAAAAGGACACATTGAGTGAAGGAGAGCAGAAATCAGTAAGTGAAAGGCAGAAACCACAATATATTAGCAGCCATAAAGAGGGTGCTAGGAGCCATAAAAGAAGACATAATGATAGAGTATTATAGTTGCATTCTGTCTTAGGAATTGCTTTTGCTCCTATCACAGAGGTAATATCAGAGCACTGAATGGAGTCATGCAGTACTGTAGTAATTAAAATTTTGCCAGACAAAGGGGGAGTATCAATAAGAAAGCAGTGAAGTAAGAGGATTTAATCAAAAGATTTCAATATACCAGAGAGACAGAGACAGCCTGACATGAGAAAGAGAACCTGAAATATAAGCCGAGTATCCATCAGATTGTGTCACACACATCCCATCATTATGGATTATCCCTGAAGTTGGCAGTGTTTTAAAAAATAAAGAAAAGTGATGTTATAATGAACTAAGAAGAGCTAAAGATCAAGATCCCTATGTCTGTGGATGCAACTTTGCAGATGCTACTTTATACTGTAAGATGTAGTGCAATTTGCTGTACTGGCCATAAGCAATGGATTCTCAAAAAGATGTGCAAAGGAAAAAGGAAGCTGATTTCCAAGGTAGTTGATTTCCTCCTAGTCTTCCACTGAATTTGGTTATCCCAAGTGCTCTCTAACAGAGACATGGTTATTCTTCTGTAGGGCAAAGCCACAAAGTCTTTGTTTCCCTGGAATCTCCCTTGTAACATTTCCATGTGATGTACTGGAAACTGATCTCTACCAGCAGGTAAACTCTGTTCCCCATGTTCAAGCTCATGTGGCTCTTTGGGGCCCTGGAAAGATCCAGGTGGTTCTTTCCTTCTACTGAGAGAAGTGGTGAAGGTGAGGGTGGAATTATCTTTGCAGTCCTTCTCCTGTGCAGTCCCTGCCCTCTGGAGAGCTCAAGCACATCACTCCTGCTCAGGACATGGTTCATTGCAGGATCCCTGGTACCATGCCAGGGTTGACCTGGGGAAGTTTCATTTATGCAAATGCAAGGATATATGTCTATTAAGGCAGGGGTTTTTTTCTCTTCCTAAGCCTTAGGATCAATTTGGTAACTTAAAGAATCCATGTTCTAGGTAGCAAAAGTGAACTAATGTTATCTGAGCAGAGAGGGAAGCATGCAACATAAGCCATATGGGCCTTTCAGATCCATGGGACAGTGCCAGCCTACATACACAGAACATAGCAGAAAAGCAGTTTCAACTATTCATCTACTTCAACAACCTAGATTGTTCATTGAAGCATCCTCATTGCTTTTCAGTGGTGCAGAAAAGAGCTGTTGATATTTGGCAGCCAAAGAGCTGATCTTTAACTCTCTAGCAGCCATTTATGCCACATTTGCTCCATTCTGGTTGAGGGTTGTGGGTCTGAAACTTCCCTGGGCACACAGGAATGCTGATAGAGATGTCAGGTAGTAGAGGTGGGGAATTTCTCTCTTCTCTGAGAGACCAAGGAAGGAAGTATGAAGTTTATTTTGTTTAGTTCTCTGAACACTTATTTACAGGAAAGATATTCTGCATTAAATATTCCTCAGATGGCCTCAGTGAAGAATTATGTATATGAGTATATCTGCTTGTCTGCATCTGATAAATGTATATTGTCAGTGAAATGTGAGGTAGCGTAAAGAATCATGCAAAATAAGCTTTCAGTTTACCCAGCTTTTTTTTTTCTCCTTACATTTCTGTGTAAAGTTTATACTTCATGGTACCTGACAGTGGTAGAGGCAGAGTAAAATGCAGTGTTAAACCCACTGAGCCATAAAATCTAGCAGATGAGACCATGTTGTCTTTAATTTATGTCTTATAAGGACTCTTCCTTAAATGCTTGCAAGAAAAAGAAACTCTGATTTGTGCAAGTGGGAAAAAAAGGTTGGATTTTTTAATATTAGTTGTTAATTTTTTATTGGAGTGAATATTAACATAGTGATGGTGGAGAGGAAAA